CGGTAATGTCTGTTAAATCTAATTTAACATATTTGAGAGTCCGTGAGGGGTCCTGGTTCTCGCCCACCCGCCCCCACCCGGCCACTATTATCTTATTGCTTATGGGCTCCTCGTGTGGTTTGTGTGGAAGACATACCTTTATTCGTAACAAATAAATTATTATAGATTTATCTATTTTGTAATATAATAGCATATTATAAAAAGGACATTAACTCCGTTGATAAGGTCTATCTCTCCGTCCCTTTCCATTTTGATAGGGGAAGCCGTCTTAAGTAAAGCCAAATCCGAGTTCTCCATTCCATCCCAATTGTACTTATCATGAATAACCAATTTGGATATTTTGTAATACACACCCTGGTCACTCTCTGACATAGAAATTGTTTTAATTCATTACAAAACATATATTTAATGAATACTTATAGATCCGACTCTAATTGATAGACCTTTGGGCGAAGTGCGGCTAAGGATTACAATATTTGAAAACACATAAAAATATTGCAAATTAGCTGATGTCTGGTAATACCCTTTGAAACAATGGGCCGCAGAGACAATCCATTTCTCATTGAGTATAGTCCCGCCACAGAATGGGACTCTATTGGTCTCTATGAGTACAATCCACGGGAACTGACCCGTCCGGGCGTCCGATCCGCCGACTATTCTTGAAATTATGCCAATACTAGTTGTGCCACAATTGGGAACTGTTATCTTCTTATCCTTATCCACACCACTCGATATTGTGATGCCGATGCCNTACAATCCACGGGAACTGACCCGTCCGGGCGTCCGATCCGCCGACTATTCTTGAAATTATGCCAATACTAGTTGTGCCACAATTGGGAACTGTTATCTTCTTATCCTTATCCACACCACTCGATATTGTGATGCCGATGCCGTTGGGCCCTCTTTTTAATATCAAAGCTCTTGCTCTGGGTCCTATAATATGTCTATCCTGATACCACTCGGAATCATCATCTTCATCCTCGTCATAGCATAAATGACTTTTGACTATAATTTATATATTTATTATAAAATGTGAATTAAGATAATAAGATAATTATTCTGACCAGTAAATGTTAAAATGACTACTATTTCCAGTAAATATATGTATTTCATACTTATTACAGTATTTATTATGTAAATACAAGCCGTCATATTTAATATTTATTTTATTCTAATTAAAATTAAGGGCAAATTTTTTAACTCAAAAGTTACAGTTTTTAGAAAAATCATAATAAATAGTTAATATTTTATAAGTTATGAAAAATTGTATTAACATGAATCTATTGACTCAATTAAAAGTAAATCTACTTTTAATAATTAATGAAAATAATTCATATTACTAATATTTAATTAAAAATCACAGTAATAATAAATCAATTTTAATATGAAAATAATAAATACGGTATTATATAACAACTAAGATTTAGACATAATTTATTTGTTATAATACTACAAATTACTTAAAATATATTAAACTGTAGACATAATGACTGATATGGTAAAGAATATAATAATCCAGGCAAATGATGAGACAAATCCAAGCCATACACGAGTTTCCAAAAAACTATAGCCTTTAAGCATAATATTTCTCAACGATATCACAGCCAAAGTTTGTGGCAATAATTGACTAACTGTTTGCAATTGACTTATCATGCCTTCGATGGGCCAGAAAACACCGGACAGTAAGATAATGGGGAAGAATGAGCCGAAAGCTACCATTAAGGCTGACTGTTCATCCGGTGTCACACTTGATATCAGTAGACCTATTAGAGGATATCACGTTTGACATCACGAATATTGAAATCGAAATCAATGTTTAATATAATAAAACAATTCAAACCATAAGTCATTCCAGTGACGCCTTGTAATACATTAATTGCTACGATTAGGGCTACCTGTCCTTTGTTTTCAATTGCAAATATAGGGAATATAATGAGCATTAAAAATGTGATTTGAATGCAAATGACGAATATTTGAACGAAAATCTGCGCGAAAAGGAATTCATAGATCTTAACGCCTGTCATAAGAGTGCGGTCCAGAAGTGACTCTTTCTTTTCGGTCACAAATGAAAGTGCAGTCAAACCGACGGCTAATATGAATATAATGGCGATCATCATTCCCGGGGCCATAAAGTCTCTGAATGTGGTTTTCGTTGACCCGTAAATTGGTTCACCGATTTCTAGTAAAGGGCTCAACGATTCCGGTCTAAAGTTTTCAGTTTCATTAGCGGGAAGGTTAGCCTTTAGGGTTTGGCTCACTCTTTGGGTAAACAGTAAGACAGAGTTGTGTAAGACTCGCAGTATTGTATCGAATATTGTTATGTCTTATTGGAAATGAGAAAATGTTAGTTTCATAACTAACCATTCAAATAATGCGAGTATTAATACCAGTAAAGTCTCCGAAGTAATAGATGGTACTGTTCTTGATATAGTTTATATCATCCATTCTGTTACAGAGAGCGGCACTGAAATACCTGTCCATCACTAGTGCCGCAAATGAATCGCTTCGTCTCACAGAATCCAATGCTTTCTCTTTTGAATTGAAATAAATCTGTTGTAGAAATCAAACCATTGCTACAAATATGCAAATTATATACATATTTTAAATAAATAAATACTAAATGAATTATTTTAGGATCAATGGACTCGAAGAAATAATGGCTTAAATTGTTGTATTGGCACAAGTGTTGAGTGCCATTGAAGAAGTCCTCCTCATTATAAACGGCAACCTTTAGATTGAGTGGCAATTGACCGATACATATGCAGAATAGTGTCATCGAAACGGTCGGGATTAGGATTTGAAAGATTAATATCCTGTGATTAATATCCATAATAACAACAGTTGTTATCAATTATTCAATTAATAAACTTATACTGTATTATGATTTGAATTTACAATAGATTTCTTGTAAGCTTTATGTAGTCTTTTTTCATAAGACTGGTCACTCGTTTGCAATGACTCGGCTCTAAATTTAATTTCTTTTGTGTCACAAATGAATGCTTTCTTTTCAAATCAATCTGTTTGTTGTCAGTCGTCTCCATAAAACTCTTAGGCATTGGCTTTGATTTGTCCAACTCTTGAGCCTTACATACGAGCAGAAAGACCTCCTCTAATGTGATGACATTGTAGTGATTGAGTAGATATTGTGGCGACTGTTCCACCAGAAGACTACCCGACCTCATGAGTGCGATCACGTGTGCCCTTCGGGCCTCCTCTACATAATGGGTTGTTATCAGTATTGATGTCTTCTCCACATTTGAAAGTTGCACCAAATGTTCCCAAACCCTGATCACAATTAACACCATTTAAATCTCAATCTAATGATACAAATCTTGAATTACCGCTCTCTTAATAAGGGATCCACTCCTACGGTGGGCTCATCCAGTATGAGGAAGGGTGGGCTGTGGACGATGGCTACGGCCAGAGAAACTCTTCGCTGTTGACCACCACTACAATTGTTTAGTAGATATTAACACCTATTTTGTAAGAAATATATTTTTACCTCAAATTTTTAATTCTTTGGTCGGGATCTGGAAGTGAAAGGAAGTCAATGAGGAACTGAATTCTCTTCAGCTTAAGACTGTTTTGCATGCCATAGATCTGAGCGAAATAGTTGAGTGTCTCTCTGATTGAGAACTCCCGATAGAGAGCTATTTCCTATGATTTTCAATAATTAATTAATTATTATTTGATAAAATTTGTTGAATAACAAGAATATGTGGGAAAACCTGCGGTTGAAACCCAACTCCAACGCCCGGTATGTGATTCAAAGGGTGTAGCGGTGGGCGTCCATTGACTTCAATCGTACCACTCTTTGATTTATTTAATCCTAATATTAGCTTTAATATTTTGTATCAAATAAATTGTTTAAAGTATCATTTTTAACATATTAAATGCTATCAGTTTATTAACCTTTAAAAGTGTAGTCTTCCCACAACCACTCGGCCCTAAGAGTCCATATCTTAAATTGTAAAGAATTAGCTTAAAATAGATTTGAGACACTTATTAATCTAATACATGGCACTCTTTGGTAGAGACATATTAATGTCATTTAGGATATTTTGTCCTTTCTTAATCCTCACGTAACTAAATGAAACATTTCTCAGTTTCACTGTCAATTCATTTATGTCTAATGCCTCCAGATTTTGTAAAACACCATTTGTTTGATTATCTGTAGCTATAGTTTGATCTGTCATTTTAACTCCCAAATGTTATCAACTGATAGTTATCTGTAACAACAAAATTGGTTTATCTATTCAACGGAATGAGGAATTTTGTGTACAATATTAGTCAATGATTTTGTTGTAAAGAATGAGTACTGAATAATTCAGTCTGAATTGTAAATTAATTGGTGTCAATGAGACTAAGATCTCGTTTTAATTTATCATTATTATGTCACATATAAAGCTATGAATGACATTTATTATTATTGTTTCAATTATTGGTAACAATTTCCAACTGTCAAAAGTTATGATCGGCTAATAAACAGCTAAATATTGTTTGAATAAAAACCGTTAACTTTATGTTTAATTGGTATTGTGTATAGAATTCAATAATAAAGGGAATGAACGCGAATTCAATATAAGTCATACCAACAATAGTAACACAAATATTTAAATTATTACACAAGTCTTACACAAGTCTTCAAACAAGTCTTACCCGAGAAGTACTAAATTCTCTTTGATTTAGTTGACCACAAAAAGATGGAAAGAAAACCGGGATTCTGGAGGCTTCAGGAATCTCAATATGAGGACCCAATCGTAGCATTCAGTCAGAAAACTATGCTATGGAGTGAAGAAGGACTCAAAAAATGCAAGAAATATGTGGAAATGTTTTCACAAATGCATCCAAATATTGCTGATTCTGAGGTCAATTCATTGGATGAATATTACGAGAATTCAAGAGGAAATTCATTGAAGGCCTCAACACTGTCTGACAATTACTCGTCAACCGATGTCTCGTCACAGATATCGATGGCTTCAAAAGATATCAGCAATACATCAGAAGACTCTTCACAAACACAGACAATCCCAAGAGATGTGAGCCATACATCTAAAGACTCTTTTGGTAAAAGTGATGACAACTCAACAAAGAGTTCTGCAAAGTCTGTGATTTCTGAAAGCAGTGACGAAACCATATCTTTAGTCCTTTCAAAAGATGGATTTTCAAAGAGTCCCGACTCGTCAGCCAACTCTTCTGCCGTCGGTTCCAATGCGTCCACAAATACATCAGTTATTAGTCGTCAGTCATCTTTAATGTCCTCAGAATCGGACGCCTCTTCTGGTAGTCCTGTGATGGCGGCGACCATGAGATCCACTCTCAGCACAAGAAAGTCTAAACAGTCGCCACTCAATGAAAGTCCTACCAATGTCTTGGAAGCTGATTCTTATTCTGGGCAACAATCTTATAGAAAAGTCAATTCACTCGCAGAGGAATGTTATCAAAGTCCAGGAGATAAAGGCTCTGAAAGACTGGATTCAGAATTCTTGAAACACGACTCAAGTCCTGTCGAAAGAACCTCAGAATCTGAAGAGTCGTGTAAAATTACATCAAATTCCTGTTCCAGTCATTCATTTTCTTCCACTTCTTCAATGTCTTCATTGAGTTCTATTGACAACTGGAGTCCAGAGAAGTCAGACATTGGTCTCACAAATGTGGATGAATTGGCAGAAGTGTCCAAATGTAGTGATGACTTGACGTCCATTTCGTTCACAAGCGAACCATCGGTGGATACTATCGAAGAGATTGTGAAACAAAGACAATGCAAAGACATTGAAGTCGTCAATGATTTTGAAGCACAAAGAGATGAGAAATGTCTCAAAATTGACACTAAAATCGGCGAATCATTGAATTCTGTGGACAACGAGTTGGACATCGAAAGGCCGGTGGACACCAAATCAGTGATCACTTCCAACACAGTTGTCGGTAAACTCAGTAGGGATTTGATCCACAGGTAAGCAAACTATGGTTAAGTTTTACACAAAATCTTAAGATTGTTTCGTATTATAGATCCGATTCTGATTCCGGATTCACTGCTGACTCTGATTCCAGTTCTACTGCTTATTATGATTCGTCCCAAAGTTCGTCAATAGATTCCGACTCAGAGTATAGATTTTAGATCACATTCAAGGTCTAAATCAACAAAATCTGATATTTTTATGAAATAAAAGTTCAAAAATTAGAGAATATATGTGTTTAGGATTTATTGATTGAAACAGCGATTCAACAATTAATGCATAAATTTCTTATTTAACTTTATAAACAATAAATGATCAAAATATAATCTACAGCAGAGACACCGAAACCCGGAACTAAATTAAGTACAATAGACTATTACTCTACTTTATAATACAATCTTATGTGTTTCCTACTGTATGTTGAGATTTTCAAACTGTAAAATAAGTTATTGGCGCCCTTTGCTTTAAATTTTGAAGTTTAAAACCTGAAAATCTACTCTTGGATTCACTAATCACATGTGAAGTTTACCTGAAGTCAGTAGATCAGCAGTGAGAAATATATTTTGTATTTTATTTATGTGTTGTTGTTTAAAATGTTTATCTTGTAAATATCTTGAATTTGGGTTCTGTTTCTAAAAATTCACATGTGAAGTTTACCTGAAGTCAGTAGATCAGCAGTGAGAAATATATTTTGTATTTTATTTATGTGTTGTTGTTTAAAATTTTATCTTGGAAATATCTTGAATTTGGGTTCTGTTTTTAAAAATTGACACAATGTTTAATTAGCAAGCTAATTATTTATAAAATTCCATGTGCAAAATAAAGTTTATTTGTTTGTAATACTGTACAATACATATTATGTATACAGTACAGTATGTCAATAATATTAGTGACTTTTTAGTATATTTACATGATGATCCACCAAAATAAAAATTGCGTTCAAATTGTTATTAATAAATACGGATAAGTTAAATTAAACTATTTATTACTGTAATAATGTGTTATGTTATTAATAGTATTGGAAATAAGCAATAAATATACAGTAATGCGAAGAATAAGTGAAATGAGACGTAAGGATATGAGACCTGAATATGAGGTGCTTTAGGAATACAAGTAATGCTTCATTTGTGGCAAACTTTCCTCATATCATAAAAACTCATTAATTATTTGAAATAAAAACGTGTCTCTCGTTGAAGGAAATGACGAGTACTTTATATTATGAAATATTATCTCAAAAACACCCATTTTTTATTTTAAATCACATTTTTTAGAAATTCTACATTTAATGTATTATTAACAATGTTTTTGTATGCAATTGCGGTGATAATCGCTGTATTTGTTTACCTAATATATAAGTTAACATTTTGGCATAGACAAAACATACCCTCCTGTCTTAGCTCTATATTTCTACCTATCTGTGAAACTACCCTGCACATACAACAATACGGCAAAATTATTGGGTTTGTCTTAAATATTTTTGGCATTAGGTGTCAAAAGTTATAATATTTGTATTCACTCACTTTGATAGCACTTATGAATATCTTCGTCCAATTCTATTGATCAGAGATGCAAAGCTTATAAATGATGTTTTGTTCAATAAGTCTGAAATATTTTGCGAACGAAAAGTAAGTGTGAATATTGCAAATAAATTATTTATAAACTAATAGAAATTGAATGCAACTTTCATTAGAGATGTTTGAGAAATGGCAAAGCAATGGGCAGTTGTCTACTTTGGAGTTCATCCACAGATTGCAAACTACATGAAAAAGTGATCAAAAATGCATTTTCTCGCCATAATATGCTAGATATGAGTAAACATTTTTGGAAAACCAATTACGAGTTCACGGATATTATTAACCAAATCATAAGCTTTGAAAAGTTTATCGACATTAAAGTGTTTATCAATATGTTTTCACTCAAGGCTTATGTGAACTGTTGTTTCGGTGATGTTATTGACAACAAAATCAAGACTAAACTTATCGCTGAATTTGAGAAACTATTTCAAAGCAAAAGTGATTCAACTATTGGAAAATGGACCTCAAAATTGGATCAACTTTTAAAAGTTAAATCCATTGACACGCGAGCGTTGACTACAATCGCAGAAATTGCTGAGTATTTGTTTGACAACAGAAAAGTAGACGAATGCAAGAATTGTATGCTTTTTATGCTGTCCGACGCTAATAAAGACTCCGATGGGAAGGACTGTTAGTTTGAGATTATTTTTTTATTTATAGTTTATTAATATTTCTCTTTTTATTGGTTCACTTTAATCCAAATTACAAAACTTTTGTATCGTTTTTCAATACTCTTTTTCTTGTCGTTAATTTAATGTTTGTTTTTCAAAAGTATTATCTAAAAAGCAAATTATAGACAACACAATACTGTTTGCGATTATGGGTTACCGGACATCGATGCCTACTATTTCGCATTTAATCTATAATTTGGCCACAAATCAAGTGATTCAACAGAAGTTGATCAAAGAGATCGACGAAACTTTTGACGATAAGCCTAAAGATAAAAAGAAAGACAAAAAAATAAAAGAAGAAGAAAATAAAGTGAAAGTCAATGAAAAAAGTGATGAAAAGAAAGAGGAGAATAAGGAAACGGATGGACTCGAGGAAGAGGAGGGAAAGGGTTTCTTAGAAGCCATCGATGGGATGCAATATTTGGACGCCTGTATCAAAGAGACATTAAGACTGTACCCACCCGTTCCCATCATTAAACGAAAGGCCACCACAGACACCAAATTAGGCAACATTTGTATCCCAAAAAATAGTGAAATCTGGATTCCTGTCAGCGCTGTTCATAGAGATCCCGATTATTATTCAAATGCTGAAGTATTCAAACCGGAGAGGTTTCTGGCGAAGAGTAGGTCTAAGGTGATAGAGGGCTCGTATGTGGCCTTTGGTGGTGACGGAGCTCGAGGTTGTATCGCACAGTCAGTGGCGTTACTCGAGATAAAGTTGTGCTTAATTAGCCTTTTGAAGAATTATAGGTTTGCCAAATGTGGTCTCACCAAAGTAAGCACACACTCATTGAATGCTTGTTTGTTTTTTATGTCATTTGCAATCATATGAATTGTTTGTGGATTTTTATTTTGATTTAAATTTTCATTTAAATACAGGAATTGCAATACGAGTCGAGCAATGAAATGTTTGCTTCAATGACTCCGACGAATGTTTTCGTGAAAATCATCAAAAGAAGTAAAGCTATTCTCGAATGAATTCTTAATAGTCTAGTCGTAAACACATTCAACACTAATGACCAAATAGTTTCTATAAATTTCAATTTGGATTTCTATGTTCATCATAAGTTATAATTTATAACGTAACTTACTGTTTAACTTACTGCATACTAAATGTATGATAAATTAAAGGTATATTAAATAAATCACAAACAAATCACAAGCATCACTAAAATTGTCATATGTTCAATAACATTTATTTTTAATTTTATTCATGTTATTAATAAACTAATTTTCATAACTTTCAAATAAAACTTTATTTTTAACATATTTACTTCAAGGTTTATAACAAAATCATTTTATTAGCACATGGTTATAAGGTGTTATTGCACATTAATATTAAGATAATTATGATATAGGTGTTATTTTATGAAAAACAATATTATGTCTGATTTAATTTGATTGAGTTCGGTGTCATCACAGGTTTTAATAGTTTTCATGAAATAATTTATTAACCGTTTTTGTAGTTTAATGACTGGTATTTCAAATAAAAGGGCAAATATAAAGCCTATTATATAAGAAATAACTATATTATGAGAAAATATTAGTATAATTTCCAACACATTTGTGTCAATTCTCTCCCTTCTTGTGCCCACAAATATCCAAATAACCCACACGTGAGTCAAATACACGGAATATGTGAGTCGGGAAAGGGGTATAAATACATATGAGGACAGACACCGATTGATAAGACCTCCGTTGCCACTAATACACAGCCATATTAGGGCGGCCGTCGAGAGGGCCCACAAAACACGACACGACGAGAATATAACGGCAGACAACACACTGTTATGGGGTTTGCCTGTATTCCAGGCATAGGTGTCCATAAGACATGTCATATAACCAATGATTATCAATAATATGACACAGAATTTGAATTTCTATATGAAAATAATTTTTGAAATTCTAGTTAAAAATGCAAACATGAATGCAATCTCAATAAACATAATAGACCTGTTTGATTTTTGTAAATTTGTTGTTATAAGCAATGATTCCGAATAGGAATCCAATGAAGAATACGGTTGAGTGAGACCAGGGCTTGATGTAGAAGAGGTCGATGTAATACTCGAGAAAGTGTTGATCCCTTCCGGTGTTGATGAGTCCCGGAGGCAAATCATATGCAGCGCTGATTATGATTGAAATTATGTAAAATGCAATAATTGCTAGATATGTGATGAAAAGTCCTAATTTGAGTTTATAGAGCACTGGTATTACAATCAATAGTGAGAACCAATGGTATTGCATATCGCAGGCGAGAAACCAAGAGTGAAGGGCACAGATTTGGGGCGCTTTGAATAGGTTCTGGATGTAAAAGGCATTCCACCACCAGTTGGTGTAACAATTATCGATTATAGGTGTTATTGTCTCAGTCCAAAGTGGCCCTGATGCTCGTCCAAACAATGGTATTAAGAATGTTAATAACATGAATACAAAGAGCTGTGGAGTGAGTCGTAAATATCTGGCCAACAGAAACCCCAGGGCATTGAAATGAGCAAGCTTGCCATTTGTGTATTTGAATGTTATAAAACTGGTCAACATTCCTCTGAAGGGTTCAAATAATTAACAAAATTAACATTTTATAAGTTTGCATAATAAATAAATTATATTTGGTAAATGTCAATTTAATAAGTTAGTTATGCTATAAGATATATAAATTAAGATTCTTAGGTTAAGGTTGAGAAGTATTTAAAAAATAAAATTAATTGAATTAATACTGAATATAATGGACAGCATAACTGAATACCCAATAAAGAAAAAGTTTTCGACAGCATATTCGCCATTCAATATGAATTGACTGTCAATTCTGGTGAAGATATCTCTGACCCTAAAGGTTCGGCTGAAGAGCTGAAAGTTAGTCCATTCGGTGGAGTGCGAGAACACCACCCAAACCAATGTTATAACTCTTATGCCGTGAATACAGGGAAACACTTCAGACGAACGCTTCGCAAACAAACTCTTAATATTGCCATTCAATGAAAACATATTCACTATTATTGAGTTTGTACAGACACCAAATTAGGCAACATTTGTATCCCAAAAAATAGTGAAATCTGGATTCCTGTCAGCGCTGTTCATAGAGATCCCGATTATTATTCAAATGCTGAAGTATTCAAACCGGAGAGGTTTCTGGTGAAGAGCAGGTCTAAGGTGATAGAGGGCTCGTATGTGGCCTTTGGTGGTGACGGAGCTCGAGGTTGTATCGCACAGTCAGTGGCGTTACTCGAGATAAAGTTGTGCTTAATTAGCCTTTTGAAGAATTATAGATTTGCCAAATGTGGTCTCACCAAAGTAAGCACTCACTCATTGAATGCTTGTTTGTTTTTTATGTCATTTGCAATCATATGAATTGTTTGTGGATTTTAATTTTGATTTAAATTTTGATTTAAATACAGGAATTGCAATACGAGTCGAGCAATGAAATGTTTGCTTCAATGACTCCGACGAATGTTTTCGTGAAAATCATCAAAAGAAGTAAAGGTATTCTCGAATGAATTCTTAATAGTCTAGTCGTAAACACATTCAACACTAATGACCAAATAGTTTATATAAAATTCAATTTGAATTTCTATGTTCATCATAAGTTATAATTTATAACGTAACTTACTGTTTAACTTACTGCATACTAGGTGTATGATAAATTAAAGGTATATTAAATAAATCACAAACAAATCACAAGCATCACTAAAATTGTCATATGTTCAATAACATTTATTTTTAATTTTATTCATGTTATTAATAAACTAATTTTCATAACTTTCAAATAAAACTTATTTTTAACATATTTACTTCAAGGTTTATAACAAAATCATTTTATTAGCACATGGTTATAAGGTGTTATTGCACATTAATATTAAGATAATTATGATATAGGTGTTATTTTATGAAAAACAATAT